AGGAGTCGAGCGTAATCATGTTTACTGAAAAATATAACCGTAGATAGGAAAAATGAAGGCCAACTATACGCCTAAACAAGTGTGATGTGCTTGAAAACATGCTTTAAAGGCATGCATCTCAACAATCGTACAAACACAGAACCATTCACCTACCCTCACTTTCTGACGTAATTGTAGGTAACAAAACCGACTGTTGGGGATTTGTCGCGGATCTTGGAGAAACTGAAAAAGAAATCCTCTGTACTACTGCAGTTCCATACACTGTTGCTTTAGAGGAGGATACCAGAGGAAGCATACCTTGGACAAGTTCGGTGAACCTGTCAACCATGCTTTCCTTAACAATCCTCTTCACATGTAATAGCTCCTCCTCAACCATCTGCAATATGTTGTCGTAGAATGGTTCGATCATGGGCTTGATGATGGATCTCTCAAGGAAACCGCTGAACATACTCAACACCTGACAAAGGACAGAAGAATTGCATGCTCAATTCATGATTACATGTGAGGTGATACCTTTGAAGCATGTTGAACCGTAGGGCAATCACTCAGGGCCTGACAAAGTATGCTTCCCAAGCGCTGCTCATAGTCATCAAACTTTACTGCAATGCCCTCTAATTCCTGCTCAAAATCACTTGATTCCAAGTCCAGACAATCGTAATCACGTTGAGTAAACTCCCTGAAGTTCTCAGAAAACTCATCAAAAATAGCAGAAACTTGGGAACTCAAGTAGGCTCCCAGTACACCTCCGATTATACACCTTTCAAGATCGACAAAATCCACCGCTGAGTTCAAAACATCCTAGAATGCAGAGGTTTAAATGCATGACTAAGCAAATTATGTGGAGAAAAATGACAAGCAGGACCATTAAGTATCATGATAACGGACTAATTTGTGAACCTTGATCTTGAGAAGACGTCTAGTTGCTTCTACAATCAATGAAAAGGGCAGCTGTGTTTTGAATTCCCATGGCACAACTGGTGCACCTTCCTTTGCAAAATATGTCGGAAGCTGAGTGCGAAAGACCTTGAATTGTTTCATAAACGCATCCAACACTTGTAAAGCATAAACCACTTTTTCAATGGACTCCTGGGGTTCACCTTTAAGTAGTTCTGTGGATTCCAAATACTGCTTTGTCTATATTTTTAAATAATTTACAAAATCATATGATTTACGGGTACCTGAACAATGAGAGCACTGGAAACCTTTTGCAAAAGCAAAATAAAACGCGATGGATTTCGAAAAACTTGTGATTTTGACCAACTCAAGGCCAAAATATGAAATAGAGGCGCAAAGTACGTGGATATCTTATTGAATTCGAGCTCCTCAATCCGCTGAAAGATTCTTTCCAATGGCTTCAAATACATAAACATTTCTTCTGCTTCAAAGAGGGCTAAGAGTGAAAAATTAGTGCTAGTCGTAAGTTCTAGCCGCCTGATGATTTACATGTAGGGTTTGTTAAACTCTCACCGTCACTAATAGTATTCACCATGTTCCTTACAGTTAAAGAATGGCTGCTTTCAAAATATTGAAGCAATTTCACAATCTGTTTCGTCGATTTTGAAGTAAGAAGTGAGCAGACTCTGGTCATATCTTCCTTCCTTTTGGCCCAAAATTCAATTTCTGTTCTTGGTGAAGAGGTTATCCTCAAACACTCAGCAGGCATTCTTTCCTGGCGTACACTAGCATGAATAATTTGAGACCACTCGAAGATGATGGTTTCAATATTAATAAGTTGCAAACTATAGGAGTTAAAAAAGTTAAGTAGCTACTGATCGAGATCCTCGACATTTGATAAAGGCAAGCATGTGATTCCATCGACTTTGCCCTCGATGTAATTGGCTTTCCTTTGAAGGAGCTTGGTAAGGGAAATAAGCTCATCAGAAAGAGCCCCTAGCATGCTAGTTTGATTAGCGTATCTTGAAAACACAGGCAACAGAATCTGCGAAATACAAAGTTAAATCCATGTTACGTTTTGAAGGAAGGAAGAAATTCCTCGTAGGAGGTTGGATTGCAGGTCACCGCACAATATATCTCCCTTAACAGAACCAATGAAAAAACATATTTTTGCCCTTCCTTTTACAGAAAAACTTTTGCTAGCAGAGAGATTGCCATTCGCACCAAGAGTGAAGAACAAAACGAATGGGGTCTGGGACTCAACGAATTCTTGTAAAATATTATTTCCGCTTTCAGACTCATAAAATCGTGTCCATTGTTCTTCCTTCAGCTTCAGAGACGAATAGAGATACTGTGAAATAAAAGCGATTTTTTGATCACTTTGATCTGCTGAGGACATCAGTAATACCAAACGATGCGGGGCTTCAGGTGATAATTCATAATTCCAAAGGTCACTGGTTGTTTAAACAAGTGAATGATAAATAAAGTTAGGCTCCTTGCCGAACACTGGTGTCACATTATGTGTTTGTAAGCAGTCTAAATTTGGTAGGATTCAGAGTGAAGAAACCAAAATATGCAAAAGCAGGAGAGAACGATTTAGTCCTGCATTTAAATCGCCCATGTACAAGGAAAAAAATACGATTCGACTTTTGCCACGGTAAAACAAAACGAGAAACACAAGATTTGCCGGTTTTATAAACCCCTAATCCTTGCGAGCTAAATTGAGTTTGCCCATTTTGCAGGACTGAAGTTGGGAGCGATTCACTTCAGTTGCATTCTATGAGCCACTCGCACCACATAGGCCTATTTATCCACTCTAAATGCCTTTGAGTGCTCTCCAAGACTTAACGCTTAGTCTCCTTTCCTTCCGGTCCAAACAACATGAGTTGAACTCTTGTATTACCACTTCGGTCCATGGATTTGCTTACTTAGGTACACAGCCTAATACCGAGTTAAAACGTAAGCTGTCGGTGCACCGAAGTGGGCTGAGGGGCCAACATTTTGAGCTCATCAGAAATGACGGGGCACTTAGGTGTCATCTTAAATAAAACTGGGAAATAAATTATTAACAATTGCATTGAGCC